CCAGACACATAGAAAAAGAATCTCTCTGTGTGTTTTGTTTTATAGAAGTAAAACCTGTAATGCTATTTTAACGTGTGTTTGGTTCTGGGGTTTGAACACAGGGCTTTGCACATGCTAGGTAAGTGTTCTGCAACTCAACTATATCTCTAGTTCTCTTTTTTTGCTTTTGAATTTGAGACAAGGTCTTATTGAGGATAGCCCAAAGTGGCCCTGAACTTTCATCCCTCCATCCTCCTCCTTCCAGGGGCTTCAGTTACAGGTATATACCACCTGATGAGCTAGCACCCCTGATTTTGAGCAGTAATATGAAGTGTTGTGGTAGTTTGAATGATAAATGTCCCGCTGTGGTCTCTGTTATGTGAATACTTGGTGAAACTGGGTAGGTTTAGAAGGTGTAGCCTTGTTGGAGTCATTGGGTGCTGGCTCTGAGATTTCAAAATTTTGAGGTTTCAAAGCCCATGCTGTCCCTACCCCCCAATCTCTGCTTCCTTCCTTCCTTCTTTTTTTTTTTCTGTAGAAAGTCTTTTTTTAAAAATTAGTTTTGTATTTAATTCAGACTTAATTCTTGACTAGCCATAAAGCTTAAGGAGTAGAAAGTCATGTTGGCACAACAATGAAACAAGGATTAAGCTGAAATGCAAAACTGTATTGTAGGTTCCATAAAGCTCTATAGTTTTTCTGTTACTGCATGAACAGAGTGGTGCTGACTTGGTAATAATTGAATCTGTTTAACTCTTCTGTTTCTCTGAGATTTGACCTGTTCATCTACGGCATCAAAATGGAAACTCAGTGAAGTCCACTGTAAATAAAAGTGTAGACCTCAGAGTACTGTAAGATACTTTTAAGTCAAGCTCCCTCTTACCAATACTGATGGCAGTAACCATTAGCATCATTGATTGTTGATGAGTTGGTCCTGTTTCTCTTTTTTTTTAATTGATTTTTATTGAGCTCTACATTTTTCTCTGCTCCCCTCCCTGCCTNATAAGCTTACTCAGGAGTTCTTGTCATTTTCTACTTCCCATGTAGATTAGATCTATGTAAGTCTCTCTTAGTGTCCTCATTGTTGTCTAAGTTCTCTGGGATTGTGGTTTGTAGGCTGGTTTTCTTTGCTTTATGTTTAAAAACCACCTATGAGTGAGTACATGTGATAATTGTCTTTCTGTGTCTGGGTTACCTCACTCAAAATAATGTTTTCCAGTTCCATCCATTTTCCTGAAAAATTCAAGATGTCGTTATTATTTCCTGCTGTGTAGTACTCCATTGTGTAAATATACCACATTTCCTTACCCATTCTTTGATCGAGGGGTATTTAGGTTGTTTCCAGGCTCTGGCTATGACAAACAATGCTGCTATGAACATAGTTGAGCACATGTCCTTATGGCATGATTGAGCATCCTTTGGATATATACCCAAAAGTAGTATTATTGGGTCTTGAGGAAGGTTGTTTCCTAATTTTCTGAGAAATTGCCATACTGACATCCGAAGGGGTTGTACCAGCTTGCATCCCTACCATCAATGCAGAAGTGTTCCCTTTTCCCCACAACCTCTCCAGCATAAGTTGTCATCAGTGTTTTTGATCTTGACCATTCTTACAGGTGTAAGATGGAAATCTCAGAGTTGTTTTGATTTGCATTTCCTGATGACTAAGGATGTTGAACCTTTCCTTAACGGTCTGCTTCCTGCTTTCTATTCAACATGTGAACTCTCAGCTTCCTGCTCCAGCTACCATGCCTCTACTCTGCCACCAACATGGACTTTTTTTTTTGTAATTATTTTGTTTTTTTTTCAAGACGGTCTCATTATGTAGCTCTGGCTGTCCTGTAATTCACTCTGTAGACCTTGTTGACCTTGAATTTAGGGATCCATCTGTCAGTTGTCCCCTGAGTGCTGCGATTAAAGACATGCACTACCGCCAATGCCTCCACTACTACCATCAGGCTAAAAATGTATGTATTTAATTTTATGTCTGAGTAGTTTGCCTGCATATATGTATATACAGCATGTAATTCTTCACGTCCACTGAGATCAAATGACAATAGGATCTTGAGAAATCGAGTTATGGATGATTGTGAGCCATGGGACTTGAATCTGGGTCCTCTGCAAGAGCATTAAGTACCCTTGCTCTCTGAGCCATCTTTCCAGACTCCCCCTCCCACTATCATGGACTCTTACCCTTCTGGAACTGGAAGCCCAAATAAATTCTTGTATAGGCTGCCTTGTCATTGTTTTATCACAGGTGTTTTATCCTTCTTATCACTGGAAAGGTCTAGAAAGAATGACAGATTCACAAACACAGAGTGCACAGGTTATGTTTTATTTTCTATTTTTGCCAGTTTTATTCATGTGCACCTGTGTTTGTGATGTGTGTGGGCTTGTGGATGTGGAAAAGAGAGTTGGTTCCCTCCTACCGTGTGGGTCTTAAGGACTGAACTCAGGTTGTCTGACTTGGCAGCGGGCATCTTCACCCACTGAGCAGTCTTGCCGGCCCTGTTGTCTGTTTTCTGGGACAAGTCAAAGTTGGGTGTGGTGGCTGGTTCCCATAATCCCAGTATGCAGGAGATTTGAGGTCAGCCTGGGCACCATATCATGGTTATAGTTAGGCTGGCCTCAAACTCTCCATTGTCCTTGTCTGAGGTTACAAGTGTGTGCTACCATGTTTGGGATCTTGTAGGTTTTTCATATTGTTTCCTACTGAAAGACTCCAGTTTCTTAGAGGGCTGGTTGATTCCAGGGCTGGAGCATAAACTATACAGGATGTTTGCACAGCAATCCTTATCAGCAGAGAAATAGGCAGGGATTGCCAGCACCCTGTTAAAATGACTCAGCCAACTTTCTATAAGCGAAGGTGGGAGGATTTGAGCATTAGTAAATATACTTTATTTAAAGTGCAGTATTTAGATTTATTGTGTGTGCTGCTTTAACTGACTATTCTTTTGAAAGGCCATAGTGTGGGGGAATGTGGCCAAATTGGTAGAGCATTTGCCTATCACACAAGGCTTTGGGTGCTATCTATTGCCAGCACATCATCCTGGCTTGGTGGTGTGTGCTTGTCTCTAGAGATAGGAGGCAGGAGGCAGGAGGCAGGAGGACCTCCTATTCAAGATTATTGACTACATAGAAAGGTTTCTTTCCCTCCTAAATTTTCTTTTCACTGCTTTTTTTTTTCTTTCGGTTTTTCAAGACAGGGTTTCTCTGTGTAATAGCCCTGGCTGTCCTGGAACTAGCTCTCGTAGCCCAGGCTGGCCTCGAACTCCCAGAGCTCTGCCTGCCTCTGCTGGGATTATAGGCGTGCGCCACCACCGCCTGGCTCCTTTTTCCTCTTCAATGCAGAGTCAGCTCTGCAGAGTGGAGAGGAGCTGACAGCCAATGGTTGCTGCTCGTTAAATGCTTTCCTCCATCGACTCAGTTACCCAGCACTGTACGGTAGAGACACATTCCCACGCTACAGATGAAGGGACAGAGCCACTGTGTGCGGAAGGCATTGTTTTCACCCCTTGCTAATGATGGTGAGGAGCGGACTGTAAGATGTGCATATTTATGAGGTATCGTGGGGTGCTCAGATGCATGGGTGCACTATGTAATGCTCAAATTAGGATGAACTGCTCCTCAACCATTTCTTTGTGGCAAAAAACAGAAAGCACTCAAAATCCTTCAGTTCTTTTTTGCTTTTTTCTTATTTTGCATTTCTGGGACAGGGTCTCTCCCCTAGTTGTCCTGGAACTTGCTCTATAGACCAGACTGACCTCGAACTCTAAGATTCTTCTGCCTCTGCCTCCTGAGTGCTCAGTTTAAAGGCCTGTGCCGCCATAACCGGCCCTTCAGCTCCTTTTTGGTATTGTTATCCTTAGCTGCCTTAAAGTGCAGCGGAGCAGAATGTTAGACCTTACTTCCGCTATAGCTCAGGACCCGATCAGCCTTCCCCGCCTGTGCTTGTGTGTCGTGTACTCCACTGCTGCGTTCTGTTGTGTAGCCACCCTGACCTCTCTTCCTTGACTAGTTTTCTGGCTTTTTCTTGGAGAACACTCAGTATTTCTTCCTTCATCTAGTTATTTCTTCTGCAGGGTTTTCCAGGAATCCCATTTTGTTTGAAGGGTTTTTTCCTCATATTTTATTATTTATTATTATTTGAGAATTTCATATGTATATGTCTTTTGATCAAGTCCACTTCCCCTTTCCAATTTTCCCCAGACCCCTTCCAACACATTCCCCTCTGAACTTCAACACCCGTACGCACAAAGGTGTGGGGCTGTTCTCTGGATGATCATTGGTCTGTGATTTTCTGTGTAGACAGAGTCACTGTGTACACAATTCTCTTGCCTTGGTGATAGGGTCCTTCAAGTGCCAGGATTTTAAGACATGCCATTTTGCTCAATCCAACTCTCGCTTTTGAGCTGTAAAATGGGTCTTTCATAAGGCTCTTAGAACAGCGCCTAGCATACAGATGGTGGCGCGCTTGCCAGGAGGGAGAGAGGAGGATCAGGAGGACAGGATTTTTAGCTGCACGGTGAGTTTGAATCCAGCCTGGGCTTCATGAGACCTTGTCTCAAGTGAAAAAAAAAAAGATAGTATGGTTCCTGGTTCAAGTCAGGTGGGGGAAACCAGCAGAAGAACCAGCAATGGAGCTGTCACTGCAGAATGAAACTTCTGCAGACATGCATGTCTGCATGGGACAAAGAACCCTAATGCTAGACACTGAGCAGCCTGCTGTGGCCTCCCTTTTTCTTTCTTTTTCTTTTTCTTCTTCTTCTTTTTTTTAAATTGATCTTTACCATGTAGCCCCAGCTGGCCTGGCACTTGTTATGTAGACCAGGCAGACTGGTCTCAAACTCCCTGAGGTCGGGCTGCCTCTAGGATTAAAGGTGTATATCACCATCCCAAGCTACATTCTTCAGAAGAATCCTGCCTCCTTCTACAAGTTCTTATTATGTGAGCCAGTATCGAGACTGACAGTAGAAGGAAGCCTACAGAGACAAATGGGAAGTGAAAACAGCACAGACGTATAAGATAACTGTGAATCTTAGCAGACAAGGGAGAAGGTCTGTGGCCTGGCCTTCCAATACTCACACATTTAATATCAAACCGTCCATGTTTTCTATGAGCCTGGGAATTCCCTACCCAGATGGGGGTGTTGTGCTCTTGCTAGCCTAGAGACTCAGGTCACATTCTTCGCACACGCCCCTCCAGAGCCTCGAGCTCCGACAACACCTCCTTAGGCAGATCCTGGTTGACTTGCACGGTCAGGTAGCTCCTAATATCGCGAACCTCCTGTTCCCAGAAGTCCTTGGGGATGGAGAACAGCTGAATATTGTCTATCGCTTTGAGGCCACTGAGATTCAGGGCTCCTTCCTTTGGCACCAGCCCGATGGGAGTCTCTTGGGCACTGTCTTCCCCATCTAATCGTCTGCAGATCCAATCTAGCACACGAGCGTTCTCCCCAAAACCTGGCCACAGGAAGCGTCCCGCTTCATCTCGCCGGAACCAGTTGACATGGAAGATACGAGGCAGCCGGGCTCCTTTGTGTCCCTCCATGCTCAGCCAGTGTTGGAGGTAGTGTCCAAAGTTATAGCCAAAAAAAGGCCGCATGGCAAAGGGATCATGCATAATGATCTTTCCTAGGACAGGAAGGAGGGTAGGGAAGGGAAGGGAAGGGAGCTCTGTGTCCTGCTGGCAGAGGCGGGGTAAAATCTGACAGTTCTGAAATATTTTCAGGGAAAGTGAAGAGAAACAACGGGAGGGAGGAGGAAGGGATAGGATAAAGCTGGGACCTACGTGGGAGCAGTGACAGGGGACAATGGAAGGTGTAAACTCACCTTTGTGTTCAGCAGCTGCAGTGGACTCTGAGCGCATGGAGCTGCCTACAAACACCCCATGACGCCAGTTGAAGGCTTCATACACCAGAGGTACCCCTAAAACACCAATGAACAGGCTTAGAGGCAACCCTTCTCATCCATCTCCAGACCCATGCCTCCCACGGATTTTGCATTCACCATGGGAGAAGGTGATGGACAGCAGCAGCCAGAGGTCCCGTAGTTTCAAATACAGGAAGGCTGGAGCTTGACTGCAGAGCTGCACCTTCTACTACAAAGGCACAGAGCCCACCTGCTTGCTGCTTACCTTTGGGCCTGCGGCCTCCAAAGATGATGGCATCAATGGGGACACCCTCTGGTGCCTCCCAGGCTGGGTCCATGATGGGACACTGGCGAGCCGGGACACAAAAGCGTGAATTGGGATGTGCACAGGGTTCCTTGTCACCTGGCAGAGGAAACGCAAAGACCATCTTCCAAGGTCATGTTCACTCTTTTTTTTTTTTTTTCCCCCAAGACAGGGTTTCTCTGTGGCTTTGGAGCCTGTCCTGGAACTAGCTTTGTAGACCAGGCTGGTCTCGAACTCACAGAGATCCACCTGCCTCTGCCTCCGAGTGCTGGGATTAAAGGCGTGCGCCACCATGGCCCGGCCATGTTCAGTCTTAACACACTCATACATACATGAGCAATGACACATTTTCATGATGCTGAGGCTTAACCTAGGGTCTTATACATGCTAGGCCAGTCCTCTATCAGTGAGCTCCTTCTCCAGCCCTTGCAAGATTTCTTTTGGTTTCATCACCTACTTATAATCTTGTGTGGTAAAGAAGGAGGGGGAAGGAGCCCAGGACATCTTCCCACAAAGATCAGGCTGATTATCAATCAATAATGGTGCTGCTCAACAACAGTGGAGAGGAAATCAGGATGACCAGGCACTCTGGGCACTTGGCATTGACAAAGACTTAAGGGAATAGTTAGATATTGGCATGTCGTCATAATAATAATTTTAATAATAATACTATAGAAATCATTTTCTTCCCAGAAACTTTATTTGCAGGATTATCAGTTCCCAAACTAATTTTTCCTAAGCCTAAAGCAAAAGCTGAGAATGTTAGGTCAATATTTCAAGCAATTGGCTTTGCATTAACAAATGAAGGAAGAAAATCTTCCAAAGCTATCAAAATGCAAACAAGAATTCCTTTATTACACATTTACTTATTTGTTGATTGTGATGGGGAGTTGGGATTGCTATGGCATGCATTGTGGAAATCAGAACCCTTGTTCCTCCACGAGGGTCCTGGGGCTTTATTTCAGGCCATCAGAGCTGGCACTTTAACACGCCAAGTCATCACGCTGGCCTAGTAATTGATGGAACTGGTTATTTCTCTTGGCCTGCCCAGACCCTGACAGTGGTAGGTTAGGGCATGAACTCAGTCAGGGACATAACCTGAGGAGCCCAGAGCATTTGACACCTTCAGGTATATTGGAGAGAAGCTGGAACAAGTCAGTGGCGTGTGTGTGAGCACCACTGGGGAGACTCAACAGGCACAGTGCCTTCTCCATTGGAAGAGGACGACCAGACTGGAAGGAGGGGTGAGGGAGCCATGGGTCAACATGGCTGTCCCTGTCACCTCCCAGCCTAGGGCCCTGGTACAGGATGTTTATGGTTCTGGGAACTAAAGATGAGCGTGTGGCTGTCTAGTTCTGTCAGTGGATTCCGAGTTGATGAAAGGGTTGGGCAACTAGCCTGTAGGGAAGATTATCGTCTGTGGATTTCTCAGCTGGGCAGAGGGACTGAGGGGGACTTAATGATGGTGTTAAGAGAAAATAAAGGCTGATCAAACAAGGAGGTTAACTGCTAGGCCATCTGGAAAACTCCAGTTCGGCCTTCAGTGACCACAAGCCCTTCTTCTTCTGTGTTCTTTTCCTATAACCTCAGAAGGCCGATTGTTAGAGTGCAAAGCTTGGGAGGGATGGGTCTCTAAGGCACCCCGGTAATGACAGGGTCAGGAAATCAGCCTCCAAGAAAGCGTAACGTGCTAACCTGAGTTCACGTTGAAGGATTGCAGTATAGTGAGGGATGGGAAGGGGAGGGTAACTTCAGACACTGGCATCAGCAGGGAAATGCCAGAGCCAAGTGTCAAAGGACAGGCTTTCTTCTTTCCAAATAGGTCAAATGTTACCAGCCCAATTCTTTTTATAACTTTCCAAATAGTTCTTCCCCCACAACTCTGGCTTATATTTTCTATTGACAAGCGCTATGTATTTGACAGTATGTTAAACTCCTTTTAGGTGTTATTTAAGTCTCTCATAATCTTAACAGGTGAGTACTATGATAAACCTCATTCAGTTGGTTGGAAAAACTGTGCAAAACTTAAGGGATGTTAAGTTATTACTCAGATCCCCAAACCATGACTAATGGCATCAGAGACGTAAACTGAGATCTTGCCTGGTGCTGGAAACTACAAAAAGCTAGGGTTTTAGAGGGTTTTCCATCACTAAAGTTGCTATGGTTTGGGGACTGGTTGCTTTTTCAAGAGGATACAGGTTCGATTCCCAAGGCCTACATGGTGGCTCACGGCCTCCTGTAATCCTAGTTCCAGGGGATCTGATGCCCTGCTCACTGCATATATACGATACACAGACACTTGCCAGCAAAGCACACATTCACATTAAAAAAAAAAAAAAGAAAGAAAAAAGAAAAAAGTGCTGAGCCCTGGGGCCTTTGTCACAACCTCCTCACCCCACGTACCAGGTTTCCAGGGCTTTCCCAGCCAGGAGGTCACAGTGACACCGGGTGGAAGAGGCTGGTCAATGCCTTCCCAGTACACACCGCCGTCACTGGTCTCGGCCACATTGGTGAAAAGAGTGTTACTCTGGATTGTGGCCATTGCATTGGGATTGGTGGTAGCAGATGTACCAGGGGCCACCCCAAAGAAGCCATTCTCAGGGTTGATGGCCCGGAGCTGACCTGCCAGAAGTGAAACAAGGAAAGAGCCTTAGGAAAAGCTGAGATGTGAGGCCGAAGGAGGGCCTTCTCTGTCCTTTTTTGGGGGGCAGGAGAAGGGGCTCTAGATCTGACTGATCGAGAAAGGCTTTGTTTCTGGGGCTGCTAGACTAACTGGGGCAGGGGACCATATGGGCTGTTTAAGAAAAGGCTCCCTCACCTTCACTGTCAAACCTCATCCAGGCGATGTCATCCCCCACACACTCTACTTTCCAGCCTGGCAATGCAGGCTGCATCATAGCCAGATTGGTTTTGCCACAGGCACTGGGGAAAGCAGCTGCCACATAGCGTTTTTTCCCTGCAGGGTTGGTGATCCCCAAAATCTGTGTTGGAGACAGAGGGAACAGAAGGAAGTCACCCAAAGTCAGGGCGTAGTCTCTATGGATAAGGACTGCTAGCTGGTAATGGGGTAGGAAGCGGGGGATGGACTATTGGATATTCACTAAGCCAGTGCCCTGCCACCAGGGCAAGGGTAGCAGTGATCAGCTAGGCTTTCAGACTCCACCATCCTGGCACCTGGCAGGAAGGAGCAAGGTTGAGGCAGATTGCCAAGGCTTCCCCAGCCACCCCCTCCTCCACAGCTGCTCAGTTCCTCACCAGGCCCTCACCAGCATATGCTCGGCCAGCCAGCCCTCATCCCTGGCCAGGCGAGAGGCGATGCGCAGGGCAAAGCACTTCTTGCCCAGCAAGGAGTTACCACCATAGCCGCTGCCGAAGGAGACGATCTCCCGCTGGTCTGGCACGTGGCCAATCAGAGTTTTTTCCGGATTGCATGGCCACGGGCTCACAGGATCCCCTGGAGACAATGGGGTCATAGTGCTGCTGGTAGTGGCCTCAGAAACCAGGGTGTCAGGGACTGGTGGAATTCAAGGATTGACCCAAGAGACACTTGAAAACATTGGCAGTGCCCAGGGGTGGCTAAGCCCCCTTTTCCAGTACCCATTAGCCCTTGTGCTTCTGTCAGACATGGAGACTGACTTCTGAATCTTGTGCAAACTGTTCTTGAAACAGTGTTACTCCAGTCCAGAATGCTTCTCTGGGCTTTGGGGAGTAATCATTCACATCCACAATTTCTCTGTGGATGGGTAAGATTTGGGGCTCCCTCTGAGTAAAGGAAGGTCTCAGTGTCCTACTCTAGATAAGGTAGGTACTCACCATGCCCAGTCAGGGGCTGGCCTACTGAATGCAGACACTTGATAAAGTCACCATCTCCCAGGGCCTGAAGCACAGGTGTTCCCAGGCGGGTCATAATACGCATGCTTGCCACCACATAAGCTGAGTCAGTGAGCTGCACTCCAATGCGGGACAGCGGGGAGCCCACGGGACCCATGCTGAACGGGAGCACATACATGGTGCGGCCTGTGGAAGAAGGTGTCATCGGGATGATGGTTCCCAAACCTTCAGTGCCCCTGCTCCTGTGCCCCTGACTTGTTACCCTGCATGCATCCTGGGAATCTCTCATCCACAGCTCGCTGGAACTCATCTGGGGACATCCAGTTGCCCAGCTGCCCACGGGCCCCATCAGCCAGGAGGGGCACTGTGTCCCTCTGCGAAGGGGTTACAATCACCGTCTTGCTTTCTACCCGCGCCACATCCTTGGGGTCTGTGCGAGCCAGCCAGCTGGGGAGAGAGGATTGCCAGGAGATGGTGGCTGGTAGACTTCACTTACCTTCAGAGTCACTTTTGTTGCTTATGTTTCTCTCAAGACGGTTTCACCATACAGCTCTAGCTGTCCTGGAACTCACTCTGCAGACCAGGCTGGCCTCAGACTCACAGAGATCCGCTTGCCTCTGCCTTTAAGTGCTCGGATTACTAAGCCTGGTCAGACTCACTTTTTAAGTCCAACTTTGACTCTAGGTCTATTTGCCTTTTTTTTTTTAACAACAACTTTATTTCATGCACATTGGTATAACGATGTCAGATTCTCTTGAACTGGAGCTACAGAACTGGAGCTGCGAGGTGCCATGTGGGTGCTGGGAACTGAACCCGGGTCCTCTGGAGGAGCAGTCAGTGCTCTTAACCACTGAGCCATCTCACCAGCCCCTCTATTTGCCTTTTGTTTTCTTATCCAACTACGTTTTAGCCCCTTTAGGTTTGTCTTATTAAGAGGTGGTTTCTGCAAGGCCCAGTCTTGAAACCTCTACCCCTGACAGAGTATGTTTCATGAATGGGTTCATGGAGTGTGTGTGTGTGTGGGGCAGTTGGTCCCCCACTCCCCGAAAAAGCAAGAGCTCCAATTTGTAAATTCATAGCTTTTTCATTTAATGTGAAAACAATCACTTCCTAGTTGATTTCCCCTCAAGCTCCCATTCTGTTTCGTTCCACTGATATTGTCCAGAAATATCTTTGTCTTGGTTAACCCAAGAGACTTCAGCCTAAGCAGTTGCCCTTTTAGGGGGGCTGTTGGTTTCAAGACTTACCAGTTCTCATACTTGGGGAGCTTCCGGATAAGCCCCTGCTGTTCCAGCAGGGCCAGTGTGGCAGCGTTCTCAGCCTCAGACCCATCACAAATGTGAATGCTCTCTGGTTGGCACAGACGGGCACTGCGTGCCACAAAGTCCCGGACTCCGGCAGGCAGCTGGCCCAGGTCTCCACTGAGTACCCGCAGAGTTTGGATGTTACGGCATGGTGACCAGTGCCAGGGCCTCAGCCCATGCAAGCTAAGCCTAGAAGAGCCCAAACAGAGAGGCAACCATCCGATGGCTATCATGGAAGCTAGCTACTGGGGAAGGAGGACAGGAAGCTCGTGCCTTGGGAAAGTTCTAAGGCATATCTGGTTAGCAGGCACCACGAAGACCAGGTTATGGTCAGTATGTGGAAGGAGTTCAGACTAGCTACGTTTGTGGCCTTTATGAGGTATGTGTCTCCTGGTCAGGGAAGGGGAGCTGGTCAAGTAAGCATCCAAGCACACATCTGGCTGTGGGAGTGTACGTGCCGATACTGCAAGTGTAGCTCATGCCCAGTTTTACTTCGTCCGCTGTAGGATTAGGAAAAAAGCAGGTGCCTTGTGGCCCGAGAGTCAAGGAACTGCCCAGATGAGAGCTTCATAAGGCTATTTTTAAAAACCTCACCAATGTTCTTTTCAGTCACAGTTTTTATGTTAAAATGGCAGTTATTTTTATCTTTTTCCTTGGTGTAGATGCCTCACCAAAGGGCGTAGTTTGTGCGATGGTAGAGCCCTCTTCCAATGCCTGGGTTTTAGATTAGGATTCTTACATGAAGACAAGGGATGCTGGGGGTTCAGGCAGTGATTGGCTAGTTAGGTATTTTTTAACTAAGTGAAAGGCGGATTAAGAATAACCAATGCCATTGCCAGGAGTCCGTACCTAGATCCTCAGAAGAGCAGTGTCTCTGTATTGTTTGTTCTGTTAGGCTCCTGGGTGATAATAGGGTCTGTTGTGATTGGTCTGGACCCAAGACAGTAAAGGCCAAGAGAACTTTTCTCACAGGCGAGGTCTCACCTGCCAGAAACCCAAGCAGACCACGATGGCTTGAGCCTGCCTATGCACTCCCTGGCTCGCCTTAGAAGCCACATGCCTACTGAACTCTAGGGGTTGGTGGTAGGTCAGAACACTAGAGGACAGGAAATTCAGATCACAGGCTAGATGCCTGGGAAGGAAGAAAACGAAGGTCTTGGATGTGGGGGTTTGGGCCTGGGTGGTTTGTTTTCCAGAAGACAAAAAAGGCAGCACACTTAGTGGGGCCCTAGGCGCACAGCAAAACAGGGCTTCTTGTACAGCTTCCTGCCTGGACCGTTTCCCCAAGGAATTAATTTTAAAGGCCCAGTCTTGAACGCTTCCCTCCCTTGGAATCTGGCTCCCCCAACACCCCCATCCTTCTGCATGCCTCTAGGAGGGACGGCTCACTATCTTTCATAGCACACATGAACTGACCACATAAAACCTGCGTGGGAGAGATAAGGAGTCAGTTTAGACTCACTGTCAAAGACCCCGGAGAACGGGACACACGGGAGAGACCTGGTTGCATGTAGGCAGAGCGGCCTGCCAGCACAAGCTTGGCACCCAGGATCTGCTATGGGAAGATGTCAGCCAAGTTAAAAAGAAAGCAATTTGTCTCCCTTCTCCCATCTTCCTTCCTTCCCTCCCCCCCTCCCTTCCCCCCTCCCTTCCTAGTCCCCAGATCCCCGAGGCTCCTCTGGGCTTCATGCCAGGCTCCATTCTCGGGAGGCAGCGAATGATGTTTACCTTCCACCTTCTTTAGGGAGCTTGGAGCCTGGGCTCCCAAAGGCTCAAGCCCTTTGGCCTCAGGGCCTTATGGCTCCGCACAGCACTGAGGGGTGGACTGGAAGCCCCAGTCAGAAAGAATTACATCTGGTAAGTAAAGGATTCGCAGAGACAGGGCTCGGGGAGGCAAAGGAGAAGGGGGAGGAGGTTGAGAGTGGCAGACAGAAGACAGCACAAGCGGACAGGGAGGGGTAGGAGCGCACAGAGCCTGGGAGAGCGCGTGGCTGAGGATGGGGGCTGGGGCACCACCGTGAGACCCCGGTTAGTAAACAGCCGCCCTGCCAGTCTCTTCCTAGGATGGGAAACAAGCGGAGGGAGCTCCGCTAGTGGAGCACGGAGTGGGCCCAGGGTTGTGGGTCACTCACCGCAGGCTGGGGAGGTACATAGCAGCCATGGCACCTGGGCTGGCGCTGCGGGGTGGCCACAGGAACCAGAGCAGTCGGGGGAGACAAGGAAGGCGGGGTAGGAAGGAGCGTGGCAAAGCCAGAGGGAGCTGAGGTTGGGCGGGAGGCGCTTAAAAAGGAGGCGGGCAGGCACCGGGGCGGAACCTAGCTGGTTTTCTCGCCTGTGGGCCGGCTCACTGGCCGGGGCTCCAGGCATCAGCTCCGTGAGCTCTGTGAAGCCTCCGCCTCACAGTCACCATACCCTCAAGCCTACTCTCCCCATTGGAGACTTGAGTTCACCTTGGGTCCCGCCCACTCCGACGCTCCGCCCCACGACCCGCCACGCTGTAGGGCTACTGATGTAACTTTGAAGGCTGTTGCTCCTTAGAGATAGTAACCCAAGAGACACCGAATGTCAGACAAGCTAAGGATGACAAATGAGACCAGAAGTGGGAGCCCCGATGTCTAAAATCTCAGGGACTGGCTTTTCCTTTTCAGGGCACTCCTAGCTTTAGGCGTTTCTTTTTCTGGGTCCCAATTCCAAGGTCTCCTTAGTCCGCAAATAAAAACGAAAGCAAACAACTGTTGTCCTTGTCTTGCTTCTTATCAAGGGAGTTTTCTCTAACACCATGAAATTGGTGAGCTCTCTCAGGACTAGGGACATTTACTGTGTTCTCTAACCACTCACCCCTCACCCCCTGCCTCACCTCTAATCCTAAGGGACATATCATCTTATTGTGAAGACCCTGGGTAATTTCCCAACTTGTCGTTCCAACGTGAGGACATTGGGTATCTACAATCCAAATGCTGTAACGCTTCAAACTCAACCCATCTGTGGTAAGCAGCTGCCCTGAATCCTCCTTCCAGTTGCAGCACTTTGACTCACTTTTGGAGAACCAAAAGGCCACGTGGGTCTCTGCCTTTGCTTCTCTTGGGGTCAATTTGTACGGCCCACACTGTGACCACAGCAGTCAGGATGCTCAGAGATGGGGAAATGAGATCTCTGTCTGAGACCTTTTCTGTAGAGTTTGGAAATAAACTCATTTTCAGCTGGATTGCTGAGTTGGGAGAATATAAACTGGTTTTTGTTGGATGTCAGCTTGGTACTGCAAAGCATGAGCCTGCCTGAGACAGAAGCAGAGACCAGAGATAAAGACAATAGATTTCCCCTAACCCCTATTGAGATAGCCTAAAGGTGGCGTTTTCTTCTTCTTCTTCTTCTTCTTCTTCTTCTTCTTCTTCTTCTTCTTCTTCTTCTTCTTCTTCTTCTTCTTCTGATTTATTATTTATTTATTATGTATATTTGAGTTTGCCTGCATGTATGTCTGTGTGAGGATGCCAGATCCCCTGGAACCAGAGTTATTAGATAGTTGTTAGTTGCCATGTGGGTGCTGGGAATTGAACCCAGATCCTTTGGAAGAGCAGTGAGTGCTCTTAGCTGTTGAGCCATCTTTCCAGGCCCCCTCAAGGCTTCTTTTTTTTTTTAATATTTATTTATTTATTATGTATACAATATTCTGTCTGTGTGCATGCCTGCAGCCAGAAGAGGGCACCAGACCTCTTTACAGATGGTTGTGAGCCACCATGTGGTTGCCGGGAATTGAACTCAGGACCTTTGGAAGAGCAGGCAATGCTCTTAACCACTGAGCCATCTCTCCAGCCCCCCCTCAAGGCTTCTTAAGCCCCCACCTTCTCCTGGGGATCTGGGATGGAAACTGTGAGAGAAGATGCCCAGTGTGTAGGGGACTGAGTTGGGCCAGGGTTTCTTTAACAGCTGAGGGTTTTTCTCTTCTTACCTGTTCTTGCTGGGGAAGGTAGTCCAGGGTTTCTTACTCCTTGGAGGCCATGTGGACCATAAAGACCACCATTCTGTTGCTGTAGCCATATTCTTTGTCATATCCAGACATGAGCTTGACAAAGTGGTTTTTGAGAACAATGCTGGTCCCACTATCAGAGGTAGAATGGGTGCTCCTGTTAAAGTCTCAGGAAACAGCCTGGTCCCCAGATAAGCCCAGCATTACCTTTAGGGGGTCCTCCAATGTCTGCTTCATAATACACCTTCTAGTGTATGTATGTATGTATGTATGTATGTATGTATGTATGTATGTATGTATGAATGTATGTATTTTTGAGTCAGGATCACTCTAAATAGTCCCAGAAATCCCGGAACTCACTATGTAGACCAAGCTGGCCTTGAACACACAGAGATTCACCTGCTTCTGCCTCCCAAGTGCTGAGATTAAAGGTGTGTGCCACCATCTTCTTGGTGTCTCCAAAATGGCAGTTTTCTCCAGGCAGCTTGTTAGATCCAGGAGGCACAGGGGGAATGTGGGAATGATGCTTTGGGTAACCCCATGGTCATTACACCACAGTTTCCTGGGTCTGGGGGGCAACCAAGGACTTCTGGGTTACAGTGGTAGTATGACCGTGGTCATAAGAACTTGCTGATGCTGAACTGTTTGCATGGGTGCCCTTGGCTTGGGACTGGGGACTGCTGAGCGGTGTGTGGTACAGGAGGCCTTGCTGACAAGCTTGAGTTGTTGTACCTCTCATGGTTCACACCCATCCCAAACAGGGAGGCATCAACATAAAGAGCAGAGGTGGTGACCACTGTGGCTCCATCCTTCAAGTGGACCACACTCTTCTTCATCATAGTGAAGGCGCCATGACATACTTGGCACCAGCATCAACCCATTGGATGTTGGCAGGATCTAACTTCCTGAAGATTAAAGGCAAATTTCCCATTCTCATCCTGTACTGTACCACAGGTATAATCATACGAGGACATGTAGACCTCATAGTTGAGGTAAACGAAGGGGTCACTGATGTCAACAATATCCCCTCTGCTAGAGCTGAAGGCAGCCTTGTTGACTAAGCACTCAGTACAGTCAAATTCATTCTTTCTAACCTTTGCTATCATGTCTCAGATATTAGGCTGGCCCTTCAAGGAGATGTGGCTGTTTCTGGAACTCTGTGGAGCAGAAAGTCTACATTATTGTGATAAGAATGAATATATTTATTCTTTTACTTAAGCTAATTTTAAGTGGATTCTGTCACTTTCCATAAAAATAATCTTGATTTTTTTTGACTCTTCAGAGTTTTGTGCCGAAGTGTAGTAGCCCAAGGAGAGCTGGCCTCTAATGGTGGTCTCTAGCTGTCCCCCAGTGCTTCCCATTCAGACTTGAGTTTGCCTTCATTTCAGGTAATGTAATCTTCTAGCACTCCCACCCCTGTGCCCCGCCCCATAGTCCCTGCATCAAAACCCTGTTTATATTCACCTTGCCACCACCAGTTTACTCCTTGACTGCATTTTAGGCTTCAAGGTGTTCCCAGGGGCATCAGCTTGGTTGACTTCCTGAAGGTCATCACCTTGTTCACAATCCCTCCAGGTCCCATGGTTGCTGTCTCAGCAAATGGTACCATCATCTAGCAAGTTGCCCCAGAGAGCTCCAAAATCAGGCTACAGCATTTCCCCCCTAATTTTCCATAGCTAATTAGACACCAGAACCAGGATTGTTCTACCCAGTTCGCTCTTAAATCTGACTGTACCACACTTGAGTGTAGGGTTTACCTTTCACCTGGCTTTATGTGATAGCTTTCCAGGCACTTCCTGGTGCCGCGCTTTTCAACAGCCCGAGTGTCTTTTGTGTGTATAGCTTCACTTTGGAGAGTTAAGAGAAAGAATTGACATCGATGGTGTGGTGCTTGGTTCTGTGCTCTGTGTGCAAGTCTCATTCAGCCCACAATAACTTTGTCTTCGCAGATGTAGACACTGAAGGTTAAGTCAGTTGCTCAAGATCGCACATCTGGTTGTCCGGAGAGATGGAACTTGGCTTTAGGTCTTTCCGACTCTAATTACCAAGGCTTTTTTCGTCAATGAAATCCTATAATATACTATTTCCTCAGTTTATGGTTAGCTATCTCAAAAATCAAATGGAGGGGGGTTGGAGAGATGGCTCAGTGGTTAAGGGCACTCACTGCTCTTCTGAAGGTCCTGAGTTCAATTCCCAGCACCCACATGGCAGCTTACAACTGTCTGATGCCTTCTTCTGGTGAGCAGATGTATAAGTAGACAAAGTACCAACACACATAAAATTCATGAATAAAAAAAAAAAAACAAATGAGGGAAAAAGAGGACTCCTAAGACTCTTAGACTAGGCATAGGCTTCAAATTCCTAGTTTGGCCCCTGTCTGTCTCTAGTTATCATCCTCACCTCCCTTCTTGCCTGCCCTTTCTCTGCTTTGTAGAGAGAAAAATCTAAACAAGCCAAGTCTCGATTTTATCTGTCCATTCCCACTGTCCTCTCACAAAAATCACTCGGAAAATGATGATTGAGTGAAGGAATGGATGCTCCCTCATTCTTTGTTGCTTTTGATTTTGGGGACAGTTTTCCACTACATGGCCCTGGTTGGTCTGGGTTTGTTGTGTAGAATAGGTAAGCTTTGCCTCCTGAGTGCTGGGATTAAAACCATGTAGCATCATGCCTAGCAAGTCCTGCATTTCTTCAATTCTTTTCCACCATTTCCTTACCAGCTTCAGGGAGACAAAACAAAGGCACGCTGGAGGATTTTCCTGCTTTACTGTTGCTTGCTCCATTCTTCTTCAGCTGTCCCTCAATCCTGGCCTGCTCCACTTAGATGGCCTTTTGTCCAAACAGCACCACCAGGGGGCAGGGCGTGACTAGCCTTGCCATGTTCTCTCGCTGTGTGTTTTTTCTCCTTCTTGGGGACAATATTCTTTTTTAAATTTATTTATTTATTAAAGATTTCTGCCTCCTCCCCACCACCGCCTCCCATTTCCCTCCCCCTCCCCCAATCAAGTCCCCCTCAATCAGGGTTCCCTGCCCTGTGGGAAGTCCAAGGACCACCCACCTCCATCCAGGTCTAGTAAGGTGAGCATCCAAACTGCCTAGGCTCCCACAAAGCCAATACGGTGCAGTAGAATCAAAAACCCATTACCATTGTTCTTGAGTTCTCAGTAGTCCTCATTGTCCGCTATGTTCAGCGAGTCTGGTTTTATCCCATGTTTTTTCAGACCCGGGCCAGCTGGCCTTGGTGAGTTCCCGATAGAACATCCCCATTGTCTCAGCGTGTGGGTGCACCCCTCACGGTTCTGAGTTCCTTGCTCGTGTTCTCTCTCCATCTGCTCCTGATTTGGACCTAGAGATT